TCGTAGATGATATACAATTACACTTGCTTCGTCCTGTTTCATGTCCCCCCCCCTTCCCCTCCTGTCCTTTATTCCGAAAATTCATATCCCCGTCGAAATTTGTCCTCCCTCAAAAATTCAAAAACCCGTCAAAATATGCCCCTCTCAAAAATATGTATGCGCCATGAAACCCCATTCTTAACATCCCTGATTAGCATCACTATTTAGGTTGGACATAAAAATTTAAATGTTGATTTTTGTAATGTCCTTTTGGATGTGTTTGAGGATGGCCTCCATCACAACGCAAATGAAGTGAAAATATGATAAAAATTAAAAAAGTTGGCGTTAAAACATTGAAATTAATTCAGATACCCAAAAAAATTTTTTTTTAATCCCATTACTTTCCTTGCTTGAATTCTGGTATTTCGAATTGAAGTAGAATTTTATATTTCTCTTGAAAAATACTTGAAAGTTTATATTTGCCAGTGAAAGTTTCGTGGTATTAATATCCACCACAGCGGGGGATTTATATTTTAGCATCAAAATAGAGTGAGGTTAAGAGTCGCAAGATGACATCTCGTTTTGCTATAACAATGGGATCGATTCAAAGAGCCACTTAAGGCGTCATAAATCTTGCGAACAATTAGCTCATCAATTATAGGAGAAAGATAAAGATGTATAAAAAGAATGTATGGTCTGCTTGAAAGCAATAGAAAATAATTCAGCTGAGTTGAATGCCGTTACGAATTGTCTCACTGTTATATTATTTTTAGAGTACAGTTTCCTTGCAATAACCGCTCACTGAATATCTTTAAATAATTCAAAATACTCTACAGTTATCACTTATTTTAATATATTGTCACAGGATATTAATAAGGACATTTTTTGCTAAGTATATTCTTAAAATATATTGGTTCATTTAAAGAATATATAAGAGTTTCCTATCTTTTAACATTACAAATAGTTTACCGGAAAATATAGGTAATATCTACAGCATGTTGCCAATATCTGTTATCCGTAAATTATGCAATTTCATAGAAGAATAACGATTTTTTTTTCAAACAAAACATAACTTTTTTTCCATTTTTTTGTTTAAAAATTTACTGCTACTTAAAAGTTTTCATACTATGATTAGCAATAATACGCCATTTTAATTCTATTTACTTCAGATAAGATATACAGGATATCCAATAGATGTAAGTCTAAAAGCATTTCACGGAGAAATGGATGATATAATTACAAAATGTCATGTGAAAACGTCTACTTATTTTGAGTAACAGTTATCTAATATATTTTAATTTTGACGCCATACATTTGGCTCAATGTTTGTAAATAACTCCTACTTTTAAATGTTCTCATTTACCATATAGGTTTTATTTTTTATGAATGATCTCGAAAAACGCATTTCGATATTTTTTAATTGTGTTGAAAAATTTACGCCATTTTAGAATTTTGTATTCTCAATGCCATAATTACTTTCCAAGCACATCATAAATTGCATATGGTCCATGGTACAGACCCGTTTTTATCAAATTATTAACATCCGTCTGAAACTTGATGAACGTAAATAGGTTCATCTCATAGAAACCTAAAATATTTTATTTCCAAAAATTCTTGAAATTGGGACGTTTTCAATCTGAAGGTCGGCAAACTTTTTCTATTTAATTAGATACTAAAAACTCGTAAATACCCATTTGCTTTTCACTTGAATCGTAAGATAATTTGAGCACAAACTCGAAAAAACAGTGAACTTAAAAAATATTGAGCTGTTTGGCGTGATCTACACCCTCAAAATAACGAGTTTTGTGGGCCAAACAGCCCAATATTTTCACATGCCACCTTTTTTTCTCGATTTCGTGGTCAAATTATCTTACGATCCAAGTGGAAAGCAAATGGGTATTTACGAGTTTTTAGTACCTAATTAAATACACAAGGTTTGCCGACATCCAAACTGAAAGCTCCCCGATTCCATGCGTTAAGGTTACGGTGAACTGAAACTATTCACGAAGCTTCAGACGGATGTTAATAATTTGATAAAAAGGGGTCTGTACCACAGGCTCATAACTTGTATGCATTTTTTCATCGTCTTTCGATTAAAAATATTACCAAGCTAGCAGGTGTAGAAATTTTTCTTGGGAAATGGAAATACGTAGTTTATCAAATTATTTTCACACAATAAAGAAAATAAATGAATTTAAAATGCATACGAATATAAAAGAAACTTGCGCTACTACAATCCATAGAGAGTCTTGGGTTCAGTACTTTGTAAAGGAGTACTATTTCTAGGTTAACTTTGAGCTAGGAGGTGATTTGTTCGAGATCACGCTCATTCGCCTCTTTTTTCCATTTATCAATCCTATTTATTGCCCACCTATAAATTGGGTAATTATTATTTAATTACCCACTTTATAGCTGGACTCGAAACCATACAACCGTTAGTTATACAACAGTTGAACAAGAAAGAGAACTTCTTAAGAAAAATTACTGAACCCCAGACCCTTACGAATATAACGATAGAAAATTGTTCTCATGTTTCAATTATGGCTTCCAAATATGATTCAGTTTTTATTTATTTATTTATTTATGGGATTCTCATCGTGTAAAATTAACTGACTTAGTCTATGTCTAGTGGTGCCTAGTATTATTTTATTTAACTGAGGCAATTAAGGTAAAAGAAATATAAATTAAAATTTATCCCTAATTTAGGTATTAAGCCCATGAATAACGATTTAAAAATATCAACTCTTGGTAAAATCTTAACTAAGAAATAATTATCAGTTATCGATTAAAAAGAAATAAAAAAAAATTGAACAAATGGCGTTTGTAATCAATGAATCGATTACCAACTTATTTTCCACGTAAGTTGGACTAAATGCAAAGTATATTTCATGATGAAAATTTACAATTGACAATAGGAGTATTCATGTACTTGTTGTAAATACTTAATGTGCTATTATGCTAAGCAGACAGCACAAAATTTGAATAAATGGTTAATAACCTGTCTATGCTAACGTGCTAAAATGTTATTAGTTATATAGTAAGGTAATGTCTGCACTGTAAAAAATGTTTGTGAATTGTTCTACTAACGTTTTGACTTATTAAATGCCAAAGCGAAGTGAAAATACTGAGTTGCTGGATTATTTGGTTAAAAAATATTTATTAGAAAGCATGAATGAAGATTGAGAAGGCAAAGAAATTGATGAAATCCTAGTAGATATTGCACACAAAGAACAAAGAATCAAACACATTAAAACCTTACAATAACCTTCCTTCTCCGTGCGTTTACGAAATTAGAACTTTAATTTAACGAAATCAAAACTTTACAGGACTCTGGGCTGCGTTAAAATCGAGGGTGCTAGCGGATATTTTTAACATACATTTCGAAAATTATTTTCTCGAATTTAAGCACTTTACAATACTTAAAATTGGTTGCATGAATAACCACTAATATATCAGCAGACAGCTGAAATTTGATCAAGTGTGTTATATAGTCGGCACCATGTTAGATCAACGAATGTGAGTGAAAATATTTCAGTTATAATAAAATTTTGGATTAAATTATATCTCGTGTCCTGCTGTGACAATAGACAATAAACCAGTTCCCTCAAAAACACATGTACGGTATCTCGGACTATACTTGGACAAAAAACACCTGTAACATTCACACTAAATTAAAAAAACAAGAACTGACCAGACGATACAAACAACTGTCATATCTTTTAGACTAAAGATCTCCACTCAACTTACTAAACAAGCGATTAATCTACACCACTATACTAAGACCTATTTGGACATACGGAGCAGAACTTTGGGGTTCCGCAAAACACACACACATCAGCAAAATTCAAACCACACAATCCAAAATACTCCGTAAAATTGTCAATGCTCCTTGGTTTATTTCAAATCACACCATACACAAAGACATGAACATACCAAAAGTAAAATCCTACATACACAACAAATACACAACATTTCACACTTCTACTTTCAATCATCCAAATCCACTCGTTCTATCTCTATCTTTCTCCCTGTTACCTGGTGAGCCTCAAAGACGACTAAAAAGGCAGTGGCCTAGAGATCTGTTGAAAAGTTAAGAAGATATCAGGAATCAAGAAGATATAATTAACGCCAACACATTTGCTTGATGCGTTCCAACGCAGTGGCAAATTTAAAATAACAAAATAAAAAAAAAAATAAAAAATTATACATCTATCCTACTTCTGTAGATATATATGGGTTTTTAATTTTACTCGACAATCGTTTCAGTTGTTGATGTTTTTATTTACATCTACACACAAGAAATGTTTTTACTAAAATATAGACTGATGCTAAATATTTTAATTCAGTTGGGGTGTTTCTATGCTAGAAATCCTTTATTTTTTAAAATTAATATTTATTTCATTTTTAAAATATATTAATTCTCAAGTTTCTCCTAAGAATGTAATCAATTTAAGACAATCTTATTTTGTTTAAATGAATATGTATGGTAGCGATCAAGAACAATAATAAAATCATAAAAACAAAAAAATTGAATATGTAAGACGTTCATTTTTTAATTTGAATAATCTAAGGTGTAATCGACAGATTACAAGAACTCCTATGTACCTATCCTCAACAATTCATAGTTGAATTTTTTTTTTAATTTTCTATAAAATGTAACTTATTAAATAAAAATTTTCACATAATTTACTTTTAAAGGCAATTATTTTAAGGACCATATAAAGATCGTTTTATCCGTGTCAATAAAAAAAAATATATTTACATATGAATCGTTTTATAATCTGTAACTCAGATTAATATATTCTCAGTGATTATCTACTTTTAAAAAATATTTAATACATGCAATTCCTCATTGCCCTGTTCATAATAACGGGATTTAAATTCTATATCAGTTAATTTAATTGTCCATGACGACGATAATTTTTAATTTTAATGAAATAATAAATAATATAATAAAAATAATAATAAAATAAATAATTAAATTATATAAACAAGACGACGTATAGCGAATTTACACTCACCCCTCTGCCATGACGGTGTGCTTGCTGGACGAATGTTCGCTACTGACTGATCGGCCAGGCTTCCCCTCCACAGTTGTGTTGCACTTCACTATCGCCGGGTACCAGACTTCGTTGTAGATAGTAGTATTCTATTGTAACGGGTTCAGGGTTAATTTTTTTGAGGGGAGGGAGGCTACGCTTTTTTATATAGTGATAATTATTATTCTAATTATGAGAATAATAATGATTATATTTTTCCTTGACACGTGCTTAAGGTATAGCTACTAAGTTTGCCCACATAACAAAAATCCTTCTTCTGGACTTATATGATATGACATGGGCGCAGACTTCAGAAGGAGGGGGATTATGTGTCTGTGATTTCACTTCTATTAAATTTAAATTTTGTTCAATATGTCCGTATAATGGGTTCCTAAATGTTTTGTGTCTGTTTTGTAGTTGACTGTTGTTTTTTGTAATGTGTATTGCTTCAAGTAATTTTCTAGTGGTGTTTTTTGGTTCTGTGCCTACTATCTGTGGTTTTTTAAGGTTAAATTTATGCTGTAGTTTTGTACTGTGATGTGCTAAGGCTGTTGTGTTTATATTTTTTGGATTTTTACAGTTGGTGATGTGTTGTGAGATTCTAGTTCCTAATTGTTTGGATTTTTCACCAATGTAGATTTTGGGGGCAGTTTTGACAGTTTAATTTATATATTGCATTTTTCTTGTTTATTGGTTCTATTTTATCCATTGTGTTGGTGATGTGCCTGCTTAGTTTCTTGTTATTATATTGTACGAGTTTAATTTCTGTCAAGTCATAATCTTTGAACACGTCTTTAATTTTGTTAGTAAGTTTAGGTATGTATGTCATTTTGTAGTAGTTGTTGAAGTCACAGGCGGATCTACGGGGGGGAGGGAGGGGAGGCTTTCGGGCTGAAGCCTCCCCAAAATGGTAACATATAACCATGTTTTACAGAAAAAAATATTAAAAACTATCTTTTAAAGTATCCTTGTTCGTATAATTATATATAATAGAACTTCAAGAACCACTTAAACACCATTTCATATAGGTAATTAATTTCTTTACTTTTTTTCAAATTAATTATAGATATATGTATATGGAAAAAAAATCTTTCGGGCTGAAGCCCCCCAAAATTAAATCCTGGATCCGCTAGTGGTTGAAGTCCATTTTGTTTGTTTGTGATATGTTATCCTGATTGTTAAAAATTGGGTGATGAATTGTTGTGTAGGTTTCCTTATTGTAATGTTTTCTTCTGGTGTTTTTTGTATTGTTTGTTTTTTAGCTCTAATTTTGTTATGGTGTAGTTTTGTATGTAATCGACTGTACCAAAGTTTGTTGATTAAGTTTATAGGGTAAAAGTTCTCGATAAGTATTTTGTATATTTCTGTTTTTACTTGTGGGATGTAAGGTTTGTCAGTGAGTTCTATTGATTTGTGAATTAGGTTCCTGGCTGTGTTAACTATTTGATGTTTGGGATGGTTTGAGCTAAAGTTAAGAATTCTATTACTGGTATTCTCTTTTTTTGTCCATTTGGTAAGTATCTGTCCTTTGTCCATAATTATGTCCATATCCAAAAATCTGAGTCTATTGTTTGTGGCTTTTTCTATTGTAAATTTGATTCTTTTGTTGTACTGGTTGAAGCTTTTCATTATTTCATTTTCCGAATCTTTTTTTTTGTTATGAGTAATAAGTCATCTATGTATTTCTTAATTAACAGTGGTTTTTGTTCTAAGTTAGTTAGTTGTGTTGTGATCAGTTTGTTTTTAAAATATGCCACTTAAATTCGTCGATAGTGTACTTCCCATCCCGACTCCCCAAAGTTGTTTATAAAATTCATTATTGTATTTGAAATAATTATTTCTTGTACAGAGATTTATTCCTTCGATGAATATTCTTTTGTCTTTGATTTTGGTTTCACTTTATACACTGTCCCAGTTGTTGTCAATAATTTTTATACATTCATCTAATGGAATAATAATTAAAAAAATAAATAAATAAAACAAAAAAAAAATAAAATCAATAATAAATAAGCTTCCTAAGTGAATAAAATGTGTAAACTAAAATCGATTAAGGAATGTCGAATAGCTGGCTGGGCTAGGGTCTAATAGTATGTATGCAACTATTTTATTAATACCTAACTTTTATCTTTATTCAATTTTTCATTTACATTCAAATATAATAATATATATCAAAATATCCTAGGATTTTATTATTCAATCACCCCTCAATTTTCACGTCACATACTTATCACATTTTCCGCGACAAACTAGTCGAACAATGAAAAACGTATTTTATTTGAGGTATTACACACTAAGAAACCAAAGATATTTTTCAATTTTTTACATTATTCATTTCCAGCTGAAAAAGTTCTAGAAATGTACTAATGTTTTGAAGGCTGTCTCGTCTCTCAATGTAATTGTATTTTTTTTAAAGATATTCTCATGTTTATACAATAAGTAAATTTAAAAAATCCTTACAACTGTAATTTTATTTTGGTCACACTTAAAAAAATTGATCTGTCAGCTCAGTTATTTAAAATTACGGTAATCGATACTAACTTTATTTAGAGCATTTCGTATAGATGGAAAACAATAAATAAATTTTGGCAGATTAAAATCAGTTAGATGCGAGTGCATTGATAAAAAATGATCTTTTTTTGCATTTTTTGTGTTTAAAGTGAAGTTCTGATTTAGTTACTAAAATAATCTGGGATGTGCACATTTCGTAATTATGTAGTAGATAGATATATATATTTTTTATTATTTCTTAATGATATTTACAACTGTATTAAATAAATACATCTAGTGAATTTGAAAATATGGTTATAATGACATGAAAACACTTGCTGAGTAACTACCCAATGGTAGCACTCTAATGATATTAGAGTCTGCATTAGGAGATCACCGGGCATTAGGGGATCATCATCTTCTTTTCAGACGCCTCGGAGGGTTATCAGGAATTGAAGAGGAAGGATGAAGTTTATTATGGAAGGATAGGTATCTGGATTGGGCCAAATCTGATACATAAGAAACATTAAGGTCATTATGGATGGTTTTATTTGCAACGAAATAGGAAGCATTGAAGATTTTACGAAGGATTTTGGATTGTAAGGATTGGATACGAGATAAATTCGATGGTTTAGTGGAACCCCATAGCTCAACTCCGTAAGTCCAAGTAGGCCTTATTACAGTCATGTATATGAGTCTTTTATAATTAATTGGAAGTTTAGAGTGTCTGTCTAGTAAGTGCTGAAGTAATCGGAAACGTCGAGCGGTTTCTTGTCGTTTCAGCCTGGTATGAGGGAGGAGCTAGATATAAAATAAACCAATGGCATAAAAAGTCGAAACGTTGCGATGGTTATGAAAATAATAAAGGTTTGGGAATTTGTACAGCTTATTAATGCATACAGATTACTTTAATAACAAACAATGGCCTCTTAAAATACATATATTGATTTATTGGTTTCCTTCGAAATACCCCTCTTAAAAATTAGTTTCATTATATGTATTCGAATCGATTTGTTATTTGGTTTCACATAATACTTGTTGCATATTACTAAAATTATTAAAAAACATTTTTTTTTGTTTTATAAAGTAGGTAAATATTAATTTATTTTCTTGTAATTTTTTCATCGTAAACTGTAAACACTACTGATAAACTAACTAACTCTTGCATATTACAATCACGCAATGCCTCTCCTATTGACGACCCCTTCCTGGATACCGACGTGCCGTTCATATCAATATTTTTATTAGTGAACAAGTATTGATGCTCCTACCTCATGTTCTACTCCAAAGGAACCATGTTTTCACCACGGCTTCTTTCTATGTTTTCATCGGTTGAACAAACTATTGGAGGATGAGGATATTATTGAAGGATTTTAACACAAAGCCAAGAGCTCTCAAAACGTAATGAACATGTAAAACAATAAACGAGGCAGTGCTTCGGCAATTCAGCCAACATTAGAAGTAAAAATATAAAAGTAACAATATTAACCCTAAACACTTACAGAATACTAAACTCTTAGGAATGCTTGAGATAAGAAATCGTACGAAAATAGTTCTAAATGTATTGAAGATAATGTTGAATCTTTTAAAAATAAGTTAAATAATTAAGATAAATGTTTTATATATATACTAGTAGGCCCGTAAGAAAAATTCGCACAGCATATAGTTATCAAATGTCAAATTAATAAGAAAATAAAAAAATGCAATGCATCAAAGGATTAAGACATCAAATGTTACTTTATCGATAAATATAATCCATAAAGCAAACAAAAATTAATTTAAATCTTCATTTTTGTTTGGAACCAACATGTTTCCAAATTTCAGTAAGCTGAATCTTTGCTAAAAATTGTCCGATTTCGATGGTTTTTTTTTCCCTTTTGTAGGGAATTTAGTAATCTTTTATATAATCATGGGCATAACCAAGGGAAAAGTGTGTACTTTTTCAGTTATTCGCAAATAAAATTTATTTTCTTTCAGAACTTGTTTGCCTGAATTTTGTGGGTAATTGGACTATTTTGTAGGCCTGAAGGAGAAGGAAACCTTCGAAATTAGTGGCTCAATCCTGAGATTTGGTGAAAAATTAACGATGATATGGCTTGCCGATCAAAAACACCATCGATAAATAATATAAACTCCCCCTCTCTCAATCATAGAGACCTCAAGTCGACGAAATGAGACATGTATTCAATGACAGTACTACAATTAATGTAAGGTTGTGCGGATGCGAACCCTATGCCTTGCGTTATCTCGAAAATAGTACGTTTTTGTGCTTAAAAACGCTGGACCCGATAGTTCCGAAGGTTCCGATAGTTTAAATCTTCAAGATCCAATTTGTCCCTTATCGATCTACAGACCTACCACCGTTCCAGTATTGAAGCCTAGCAAAATGTTGGTATCGACTTTATTTGTTTTAGAAAGAAAAACAAAAGTGGAGAATACGATTCGCTAACCCCCCGTGAAATTCTGAATCCTACGGTACCCCATTCATGGTATTTGAGCATGACAGGAGTTTATATTTGGTACAAAACCAATTTCGAGCCTTACTGTAATAATATATGTGG